TACAAAATGATCTGATATGATGATATAGAATTGTATACTAATAATTCCCCTGATACACTCAGAAACATACATATTTGCTAATCTTCATCAATTACACTTCAATCTAACCTTAAATAACTATGTAAATCGATTTAAAAACACAAATCTACAGGTACCCACACTCCTCAACCCAGGAATACCTAGGACTCAGCCATAGGTACTTCTGCGGTACTTAGGACTCACTCCAAAGTGTTTCTAGCACACATAAAACTGCCTTCTAAGTACCACAGAGGTAGATTGGACTCACTTTACAGTATTCCAGCCATACTTAGGACGACTTTTAAATACCCCAGGGTATATAGGACTCACTTGTAAATATCCAAGGGTACCTAGGACCCACTCCTAAGTACTCCAGAGGTGGATTGGACTCAGTTTTAAGTACCCAAGTAGCAATATGAGTCACTTCTAAGTACCCCGAAGGTACGTAGAATCCACTTGGAAGTACCCAAGATGTACGTAGACCTCACTTCTAAGCATCCCAGGGGTCCATTGGGTTCACTTCGAAATAGCCCAAAGGTACCTAGGACTCACTCCTTAGTATCACAAGGTTGTCTAGAATCCACTCCTAGGTACACGAGTGGTACATAGGACTGACTTCTGACTACTCAAAGGTTACCGAGAAGTCGTGCCTAGTCATACTAGGAGTATATGAAACGTTCTCTTAAGTACTATTTTATGTATTGTCGATATAGGAACATTATAGTAGAAGTTGAAATGTTAGACGCGAGGAATATGGAAAAATGGAATATTAATTAAAAATTTTTGAAGTGATAAAGTTGGAACAATAAATGAAAAGTGTAATCACTTTGGCCATCGGTGTAGAAAATTCAAAAAATTGAAGTTTGGATATTGTATATGTTTGTAAACAGGAACATATTAAGTATAAGAAAGCGTTTTCTATGCTATGACCGACATGAAAAAATGTGAACAAAACTAAGCTTACGGATGCTAATGCGTTAGAGAGAGAAGGAAGGTAATTGGACTACTCAATTCTGTTTTTCTTAGGTACTCCCCCTCAGAGTAAAGTTGATCGAGTTAATAATGCTCGAGGAAGTGTTATATAGAGCTGAACATTTACGATCAAATAAGAATAGACAAGACTGATTGTACGCAATAGTATCTGTTTCTTATTTCAAGAATCTGATAGGATTTTTTAAGATCGGATAGAAATCATATAGTTTGATCGTGTTAGTTTCTTAATCTTTGATTGTTACAAGATCTTTGGCTGACATCTTACACTCAGAATCTGATGAAATCTTCAGAAATGCAAACATATTTGATATGATAGTAAGATCGTATGAAAAATCTTGTATGGATAAGATCTTATACAATCTTGCAGGATCTGATGTCTGCTTTCTCGACCTGGGTGAGCAACACCCACACTCTCAAAAAAAAAATATTGGTCTCGAGATTGGAACCATGTTGCTCATATCTAACTGTAATAATTGTATTAAGGCTCATAAATATTTTGTCTACTTTACCGCCACTTACTCTACTCAGTTACCATTGGTTCTCATGTAAACAATGTTCGTCAATGCATATAGATGCTCAAATATGTGTACATCAAACAATATATTTATCGGTACTTCAGTGTATATATACACATAATATATGAATAGACGGTGCATATCGTGTAGAAGTACCTATTTATCCGATATTGGCGAATGTTTTAACTAAAGAATGAACTGTTTATCAAATCAAGGTATGTGATTATTTCATAAAATTAAAATTTATTTGAAATTCTTTTTCTATGAAAGATATTATTGAACTACTCGACTTACCAGATGAAATGATCTTGAACATAATGAACAAAGTCAAACCTCAAGCGTTGTTGCTTTGTTCTATTATTAATATTGGAAATCATCGCTTGGAACAGCTTGCTCTTGATAAATATCATTCAATTGATCTAACTTTTGATTATGAATATTATCCTCATGGATTACTTCTTAAACGATTTTATATAGATGTTTTTCCTCGTATTTACAATAATATTCAATCATTAACAATCCATACAAAACATTTGTTCCCTATTCATACTGCTCTCGATGCAATACCTGATACACTTCTTCCAAATTTAAGACATTTGAAAATATTAATAAACCGTCGTCATCCTCATATTGGAACACCTTTTACAATAGGTAAATGATTGTTTATCTCGATTTCTAAATGCACAGAATGAAGAAATAACCATGATTACTCATCAAAGCTCTAAATAGGCAACACTTGTTAGACTTACGAGGGAATCTATTTGGATATACCCACGCAGAGTGAGTTTAAAAGCATTCTATCCTATAAGAATCTCAATGAATATCTCAAATATAAATGACTTAGTTGCTCTCGTTTAGATCTGCAAAAAACAAGAAGACTAAATTTTTTTCAATTGTAGACCTTATTCTGCTAATAGATGTATCATAACTTGTTTTTTCATTGTTTTCTAAATTTGTAAAAATAACTGTTTTGTTTTTATAAGAGAGCTGTAGAGAATTACCAAGATTTGCCATGAAGGAGTCAACTCTTTGTCAATAATAGTAGTTCCATATTTGTTTTCCATCTAGGTATTCGTCTGATAAAGAACTTTTCCTTTTCAATAATTAATAATAGTTATCAAGTTTTTATAAAAACAGTTGAATAAAAATATGCACAAAACGTAAAGAAATAAGATAAACTATTATTTTAATTGACTCGAAGAAAGAAGTAGAAAAAAATATTTTTCTAATTTATTTATCTGTTGTGTTAGCCAGTTTCTTTTAATAAGCAGTTGTGAGTGTCCTCCATTTTTTTTTACATACAAGTAACGACGTTACAATTTTTTATATCCATCATATTTGGTCCTATCCGATAAGTTCATCAGAATACTTTGATTCGTAGTAGCTTGTTAATAGTAAATGTTAGATTGCAATGTATGAAAAAACCTAAGGAGCACTGTTTATGTTTATTACTAAATTGTTGAAAACAAGAAGTCTTTTATCAGAAGGCTACCTAGCAGGAATACAAATATTATACTACTATTCTTAACAAAGAGTTGACTCCTTCATAGCAAATCTTGTTAATTCTCTATAGTTCTCTTATGAAAATAAAATGGTTATTTTTAGAAATTTAGAAAATAATGAAAAAACAAGTTATGATACATCTATTAGTAGAATAAGGTCTACAATCGAAAAAATTTAGTCTTCTTGTTTTTCGCAGATCTAAACGAGAGTAACTAAGACATTTATATTCGAGATATTCATTGAGAGCCTTAAAGGATAGAGTGCTTTTAAACTCACTCAGTGTGTGTACACTCAAATATGTTCCCTCGTTGGCCTGATTGCTTTTTTCTTCGATAGGAAATTTTTGTTCATAAATTAAATTTATGTCTACAAAAATATATTTAATTGAGTTAGTTTTCAAGGATAACATTTATATATATATAAAACTTGACTGATCTTCACAGGCAAGTCAGGTCGAAGAAATAGCATTTCAAGTAGAGATAAACTGTACTTGCAAAGAATCTATCTATTGAGATTTTTATTTCTCATCTATGCCAACACTAAAATGGACATGTTGTGAAATAGAGAGAAGGCTCTCTCTCTCTCGCTCTGCTTTTTCTTGACTTAATTCGAATCGAAGACCTAGCTTGATTTGAAACTTTTCAAGAAGGAAACACTTTGCACACAAACATCTTTTATTGGAACTAGAAAGTTTATAATAAGGAAATCCAAGTTATATTCTACTAAAAATAGGACATAATTATTAAATTTTTTCGCCGTAAAATAGAAAGTCGTAGATTTTTTTTAAACAGCTATTTTAAAAAATCCAGCAAAATTTGGAGTAAAACAAACAAATTTCTATTATTAAAAGTTTTTATTCTAGTGAAAAAAAGCTTATTTTCTGGAACTTCGATGCTTAAAAATCCTGTTTGATTAGCAGAAAAATTTTTCAAAAACTTTGCATCTTCTAGGTAAATGGCAGCAAAAAACCTAGACCGTTATAGAAGATCATAGATTTTTTATTCTGGGAAATGTAACATGAAATTTATATTCTGAAAACTATTAGATCTTTCACTCTGTATCCTAGGGACTGTCTATAAAGAACATCTAGAGAAAAACAAGGATCAATCAAAACTGAGCATTTATAGGCAAGGATGAGCGAGGGATAAAAGAAAAAGAGATTGTCATCTGGACATTCGTTATAGATGGTCTCTTACTTTATTTTATATAACTCATACTTGTCTGTTGAATAATTACTATATTTCACCATGAAACAGAATCGAATTTTCTTAGCAGACCTCATCATAGCATAGGAGTGAGATAAAATATAAAATATTCTTTCTTATCTCATTCATGTTTATATAATTTTAGCTTTCTATTACGACCAGCGATCATATAATTTTCCTCTTTACGCAACTGTACCTCAATTTGTTTATATGAGAGATAAACTCATTGATGCACTTTTACTATGGATCCGTTCTGCACCACTTATGAGTTCTATTAACTCTTTTGAATTTGATCATTATGCTCCACTAATAGTGCCTGTTAATAATGAAAACTTATTCTTTGCTCAATCATCTTATCTTACTGATGTATCCATCACATTAAAAGAATTACCTGATTGTGTTCGTTTACTGAATCAACTGGGCTCCCAATTATATTCATTTACTGTGAACATTATAGACGCTTGTGTAGGCAATGTCGATATCACATCTGAAATCGAATCAGTAAGTTTTATGTTTTAATATGACATTTTTTGCTTCATTTATTTCATTTAGATTTGTTGTTGCAACTTAAAAAAATTCAAAATGACAATATATCGTAATATGTTAGCCTATGAAAAATATCTTCTTCCTCTTTTACAACATTTATCAAGTGTCAAATATTTAACATTGCTATTAGCCATTTATATAACTAAATCAAATCGTTTTGTTGATGGATTCCATTTAGAAAGAAATATTGTTTCACATATGCCTCATTTATGTCAATTTGATTTTCATATTCGTTCAGTATTAAAAAATTTTTCTTATATCGAACTTGATATTGTTCGTCAAAGTTTTGTCAAACAAAAATCTATGGATTACACAATTGAATATTTCAATAATCGATATGGTCAATGTCACATCTATTCACTTCCATTTATTGGTGATCGTCTTGATTTTATTTCGAATCGATTTCCACTTTTTGATAATAAAAACACATTTATCAATATTACTATGTTATTACTTTTTGATGATGTTAAACCTTTTGAAAATGTTTTCTTTGAACGTATTACACTTAGTTTACCTCATCTTCGAACACTCGAAATTTTTAATCAATTAGAACAAGAAGAGAAAGCGAAAATCAGAACAACCAATTATATTGAATTTTCTCACTTGTCTACACTTATTTTACATTGTATTCATATGGATTATGGGGAACAACTTCTTTGTCGAACTCATCTTCCACATCTAGTGGAACTTGTCATTCGTAACAACGTATTATTAACAATAATCGATCAAGATAATCAACAAGCTAGAAATAATTGTTTAAATGTTGAAAGACTTTTTATTGTCGAACCATGGATTGAACCAACAAGTGTTCATTTAAAATTTTTTCCCAAACTATATATGAAAAACTTCTAAGAAATCAATCTATTTATATCTGTAAACAAAATTTTTCTTCGCAAAATTAATATATAAATTATTTTTGATAGTAGAATATTTATTGTATTTTCTATATTGAAATAAATTCTTCAACTAAAAAAAAAGACCAATCAGAACTTTTAGATGATTTATTTACGTACATATTTATTACAAAAATTCTGTATAAGAATAGTATAAAAGCATACTACCATGTTTGTAATTTAGGTAAGAGAGAGTATATATAAAATAGTTTTAAAAGAAAAAATGTTTGAATAAATGAACAATTTGGATATTGCACGTTTTTCTCTAAAATGACAGAATACATTGTAAAATTAATGGCTTATAGAGCTCCCAAAAATTTTTAAAGAAAAAAGAAATGTATGTTTTACGTCAAAATTTTCCAAATTTCTCCCTCCCTATTACAGACCTTAGCAACTCGGAATAGCGGTGCTGGACATCAATAATAAACTGGCTTAGACTATTCCAGAACATGTCAGAACCTTTCTTGGAATTTATATGGCTGCAATACATTTTTGACATTCTAAATAACGTAGTTTCTGATTTTTGCTTAGATAGAATTTATGTTCAAGATATCGATCATTATAGATAGTGATGCATTGATTTACTAGATTTTTCATCGGATCAAATTAAAAAGCGTAAGTTGATAAAGTTATAGTTTTGAGTAATAAGCAATATTAATGCTTCTGAGCTATGGGACGTGGGTGGCTGTGAGGTGTAGGGACAGAGAAGGTTCACACACATATCCACACCCAAGACTCTAGATAGTGAATAGTTCTACCAGTTAGTAAAGCTTTCATACTAACTGAAACAAGACTTTTAAACTTACAATCAATTGTATTTTAAGAATGTTCAATAGGATTTCTGTTATATTTACTTAAATATCATCCACCATTGCAAGAGTTCAACTTTAGTCTGAGTACTCCTTGGCTACCTGATAAACATATACTAATGAATGGTAATCAAAAGTAAGTTTATTTTCTTGAATTCAGAGTAGAAAATATAAAATATGTACGTGCATTTAATCACATTATCGTTACAAGTGAATCGTTTCCGAATTGATAATATTCTCTCTTTCACTAATTTACATCTTAATTGATCACGGAGTGTTTAATGGTAAGATGGACTTCGAACAAGTTGAGAAGTTAAAGAATAAATTGTTTCACAAGGATCTTTAAAGAAGTCAATGAATAAGAGAAGATTTATTGAAATTAGCTAAATATAATAAATTCTGTATATGTACCTGTAGATTGATGAATGTTATTAGATATGAGCAACATTTTTTGTTTCCGATGAGATGAAAAACATAGGTTACTGTATTTTTCATTATCTAAAGATGATTACTCGTTTCTAATCATAGCAAAAGTAGAGCTGAGTTAGTCTCTTTAATATTCGATTTGACAAGCATTGTACTTCTCCATATATGTTTGACAGAAAATTCTTCTTTCTTTTTCACCTTAAATGCATTCGTTAATATCAATTTCAAACTCAAGATTTAAATAGAACAGATTATAATTGAATATATAAATAGCTTTAAAATTATTTTCCTTCGAAAAAAATTTATGTAGCATCCAAAAATGAGACATTTTGAAAAAGATAAAAGATTCTATAGAAATGAGAAAGTACTATACGATAAAAAAACTAACATTAAAAAAATATATTCGCCATGAAACCTTTTTACTCTTTAAGACTAGTCATGCAAAACAAACTTCAAATTTAACTATACTTAGCGCGTACCAAAAGTTCGTATCCCGGCATTATTTAATCATAGAGTAAGCTTTTAGAAACTTTCTTTCTATACAATCTAATAGAGAAAAGAATTCTCTATTTGTCTATGCTATTTGATCATGCTTCAACTAATATCGTGATAATCAATTTTCGATAAGACTTTTTTTCGTTATCATTTATGCTCTCGTAAGTTTCGCAATGCAGTATCCAATCTCTTAATGCATTGTGTTAGCAACTAAAATATACCATAAGATGCAGCGTGAAAAGCTCTACAATTTACTCAAGACCACTTATTTATAGTTGCACTTTCGTTTACAAAATGGACAACGTTTTGGGCGATCAAATTTCGACCATGGGAAATTGATAATGTTTTTGATACACGACGAATTCATTTTTTGTTATTTCATGGTTTCATCATCTGAAATGCTTTGTCAAAAGAAAACAAAATACACCATAAGATGCAGCGCGAAAAGGTCTACAATCTTCACAGTAAAACTTACTGTAATTGTTTTCAAAAAAAAGGAAAATTCTCTACGACCAATTTTTGCAATGCCAAAAATTTGACCTCTCAAAACTTTGTTTATTTTGAAAACGAAAAGTGCAACTATAAGGTAGGTAGTCTTATGTAAATTGTACAGCTTTTCACGCGGCATCTTTTAGTATATTTTAGTTGTTAATACAATGGATCGAGAGATTGAAAACTAATCTGTCTTATCCGTTGTGATCTAGTACTACGAGCACAAATGATAACGAAAAAAAAGTCTTCTCGAAAATTGATTATCACGATATTAGTTGAAGCATGATCAAATAGCATAGAAAAATAGAGCATTCTTTTCTCTATTAGTTTGTATAGAAAGAAAGTTTCTTAAAGCTTACTCTATGGTTAAATAACGTCGGGATACGAACTTTTGGTACGCCATTAGTATCTTCTTAGTCTCGATGAAAAAATTATTTTTTTTAAAATAGCAATCATTGACTTTTGGTGCCAACTTACACAAGAAAAAAGAAAAGCTTCTTTTCATGCGACACATCATTATGTTATAACAAGCCTATGACGTTCAGTGATGTTCATGTGCACAGATATTTCAGATTAAATGGTTAAATGAATTGAAAATATCTATGAAGATGTAATTCATAATGATCTTAAATCATTTTTTATGGTTACCCTAATCTACTTGATTCAGATTTTGGTCGTAATATTTTCTGAAAAATAAAACATCTTCCAAATAAGTTTGAATATATACAATTAAATGATGAAAAGAATTGAATTTAATAGGAAGTTTATCCTTTCATCAATCTGATACATATGATAATGAGATAGAAAATTGTTATGTGAAAAAGTTTCTTTTAAAACATTTCCATAGTTTCTACATTATCAAGAGAAAAGCATCTTGAATATAAAAATACAGGATTGTGCATAATCTTATGCTAGCGGCGTGACGTAGCGATACGATTTTAAGTTGAGTACTTAATGAATTTTATATTAAATGAAAGCCCGTGAAAAACTCGATGTAGGACTACAGTGAACAATTCAATAGATAAGGATAGCTGATTCAAGTTTTCAACATACACACTATTTTCTTTCGTTCTGTATTGTTTTCTGTTCTCTTGTTGCTTTTGTTCTTCTTCTTCTTTTCATAAAAGTATTCTCTCTTTCTGCCCAATGTATC